ATTGCACTGAAACTATCCAGACAACCCCTTTCTTCCTAGTCATTCCTTCTCTTGTCCTGGGGTTGAGGGGTTGCGCATATCACCATTTGCACATGCAGAGGAAAAGCTTTCCTGGTCACATTTTCCCTTCCAGGATACTGCTTTACTACCATGGCCCAGAGTGGAAAATGGGGTAATAGGGATGGTGCCTCATTGGGGAACTTCCCTAAGCGCTGCCTGAGGGGTCACTGCACAAGACTCAGGAACTGGTGCTACCACAGCACAGGAGCAGCCGCCTTAGTGTTACTTATCTCTCATTCCAGAAATACACTTCTTATTCTCTGATACAGGACATGAAATTGAAGAAGTCAACTAAGCACTATTAAGCAAGATGGTACAAAGCATACAAACACACAACTCTCATTTCTAAATTCCTCCCTAAAATGCCTTTGGAAGATTTCCTTTTGATAACTGATTTTATTCTGTTAACTGGGAAACAATTATCAACTGTTTCAACTTAAAGCTCCTGACAAATACACTTTGACCTTCTTATCCTTAAAACATAACTCACTCATCTCTCCTGGTATGGGCACACCCTACTTTTAATACCTTGCTGAATATATTTACCTAAGAGAAGAACTCATTAACCCATTGAGTCCCATTATCCCAAATGTGGGACACCTATGAAAACTTAAATTGAGCAAGAAATATATCACTTTTGGTAACTTTTGAAATAAGTATCTTCAGAGTTCTATTCTTTTGAGAACATTAATGAATAATAAGTATTTGAAAAACTTATGTATCCATATGTGTGTCTATGAAAATATACATAAAAAACATGTAAGCTCTAGCTTATGATTTCCAACCTATTTTAATGTACCTGTGCCAATTTCATTGAATTATTCATGGAAGTAAAACTTGGGACTGAACGAGTTGACTGTGAAACAGATATATATATATATATATATATATATATATATATATATTTAGGAAATAATTATTGAATAAGCATATTTAGGAAAATATATTTGATTAAACATATTTAGGAAATATTGAGATTTTTAGGAAATGCATTTTTAGCATTTCTATTCTTGTTCTACAGAACAGAATTCAAACTTTTGTTAATTTCTAAGATAAAGCATAAAAAAATCAAGTAAAATTTGAGCTTACCGCAGCTGCCTTCTTGCTGTGTGGTGTTATGTACCTCTCTCTCCCCCCAATCTTTGAAGCTAAGTGGAAAGGTCTGCCAATCATTGCCTTAATCAATTATCTAGGTCTCTCTCAGGTTTTTATCTCTTATATACAAGTCACGACTCTATTACACATCTATGCCATTGAAATACACTAGGAAAACAAAATATGAGGGCTGTACAATGGGAATGGTATTCATAATATTTTGTATTTAAATTTGCTTTTGACTCTAAAGGTAATAAAGGTCTCTCTACTAATTTAGCATTTAGGCTTACCAACCTTTGATAAATAAAGATGTATAGTTAGACCTTATCAAAATGTCCCAAAAATATCTGGTACACTTTATAGCTACTAAGGAAACAGACCCAGAAAACTAATCTGATACACTTAATGACACATATAATTTTACACTACTGCTCCCCATACCCAGAACACTCTTCCCTCCAGTTCTCTATACTGCTGCTTCTGTCCCACACTTCAAATCTACCTCTTTGGAGGCCTGTCCTAACCACCCCATCAAAAACAGCCTTTCTTCAGTTCCTTTATGAGTGTGTAAGCACACTATTTCCTTTAAACAATTACATATTTTTTAGTTATCTGGTAATTATTTACTATTTTGCTTAACATGTGTCCCAAGATGATAGAACAGAATCCCATCCGACTTATTTATGGCCATTTCCCACATCTACTGAGTGCCACTCAATAACCACATTTGAAATGAAGAGGAGACATTTATCACTCATTTTAAAACGCTAAAGGAAAAATAAAAACAAAAAACAACAACAAGAGAGCTTGGAACTCTTATAATCTAGCTGTCTTTCTTAGAAACCCCAAAAGAAGCTGAGACTCAGTGCCTCTCCCAGATTCTTTTAGCACTACAAGTCTGAGGTGGAGCCAGAACCAGTCTCTCCACTCCCCTTGTTTCCCACTCCAGGGAGCTTTCCAAAGCAAGCTGTTGTTTCCTCTAGTCTTCCTTTATTATTCCTACAGGAGGTATAAACAGTGTTGAGCACATGTGAAAACCAAATGTTTGTTTCCATTCCCATAAAATGCCTTTTTTGTTGTTGTTTTGCAAACTGAGGAGGGCCAAGACCAATTTGTGTCTGGCAATGTTAGCATTTCCAGAGAAACCACCAAGACCCTGGGTGCCTTGCTGAGGATCTGACACAGAGGAGGTGGAATTCCATGCCATGGATCCAATCCTGTTGCACAGCTTGGCCCAGAAGCCTCACCTTGGCCGCTTACACAACCAGAGTAACTGTGGTACTCAGGACAGAAAGGATGGCTTCTTGCACAGAGGAATAAGTGCTACGTGCACTGACATCTCACACATCCAAAACAGAGATTAATGTAGTGAATCCATACCTCAGTAGCTATGTCTACTTTCCTCAAACTCAAACCATCACCACCAAAAAAAAAAAAAACTGTGTGAAAACAAAAGGATCACAAAAGCAAATATCAAAACCTTAAAAAATCCACTGGGAAATAGACAAGTCATGGTTCCCTGATCAGGAATCAAACCTATTCATTAAGAAGCTCACAGGTAACAAGGAACTAAGCCGCCTTGTCAGATAGAACATTTCTTAAAAAAAAAAACAGATGCCTTATGTCTTTCTAACCTCCTGGATTACCCGGTTAATTTGTGATTACCTAGGTAAAGGCTCTTCTCTCCAGACAGTTATACAACACTGATCACAGCTCCTAAACTTGGAGGTGTGGCTCAAAATTCACCTCCTCAGGATAATAAGACATAACAGGCCATTCTCTAATCTTCCTACAAAAGGGTTGACTCATCTTCTCTAGGCCAGGACATTTTTACTACTTTGCAGTTAGCTGTTTCTTCATGTGTGTTTGTCCACCAACCCTACTAGTCTAAATGCAAATGGAGGGAGGACCAAGACCTAGCTGGTTTGTTAATCTGTCTCTGTGATGGTCTCCGCTTATGAATTGCAGGGACACAGAGTCATGCTCTTGAATATTACAATGCTGATGATTATTAATTAATTAGTTTATTAATTAATTTCTGTTACAACTAGTGTGTACTGTCAACAACCACTTGGCTAGACCAGTAGACCAGACATTTTTTTAAGCTCAAAATGAAATTATACATTTAATGCTTTATACTAAAAATCAGTGGTATCCTTGCCTCTTTTTAAATTAAATTGTCTTACTTATTATATAACTAAAATCCAAAATAATTTAATATGATTATCCTAATAATCTGAACTTTTTCCACTCACACAATATTAGCATAGATTCAACTGTACTAATAACAACAGAAACCATTCAGATAGGAGCATGAAAGAAGTTATTTGTCCTTTAAATAGATATTTTTAAATTCAAGATAATTTAAATTTAATTTTTAAAAAATTAACCCAATGTTGAACTCAGCAAATTATTTTATTAAAAAAAAAGTTATCTTTACACTGATGTATTACACTGGAAATGCTAACATTGCCAGACACAAATTAGGTGCTTACAGTATATAAAAATGACCCTCACAAATAGTTAGGTCTTTAGTCTGGGCAAGAAGGTAATAGCACCAGTCTGCTACGCTGCATATACACAAAGTTATATCAAGTCCCATGTGGGTGACCTGTTTCCACGGTGTGCATTCTATTGATTCAGGAAAATAATGATATTCAGTTCCATCAAAAATAGGAGCAAGTGAGCAAACAGACCTTCTAATACCTATTTGTGGCATGTATTAATAAAAGTGTGTGTTTAGCATTTTCTCAGATATGTAAAACAACACAACTATAAACTAGACCTATCATTTGAACTACCAATTCTGTAAAGACAAAAGGAAGGTCAATATTTTTCAAATACCAATTTGGCAATTGTACAGGTCTGTAATCTCAGCTATGAGGAAGCTGAGGCAGGAGGATTCCAAGTTCCAGGACAGTCTGGGAAACTTAACAAAACCCTGTCTCAAAAAGAGCTGAGGATACAGCTCAGTGGTAGAACAAATGCCTAGGATGCATGAAGCCATGAGTCTATCCTGAGTATAGCAAAAAGCAAAATAAAAGTAAAAGAAATACAAACTAGGGAAATATGAACCAGGCAGGTTCGCTGTTCTTGTTTTTAAAAATGTATTTGAAATGCCTATTTTTACACAATGTTTACATCCGCAAATTGCTTGTCCAAATCAGAGTGTCAAGATTATAGATCCTGCCTGAGAATATTTTTTATATGTCTCTATATAATATATTCTCTGGAAGTAAATACATCAACATAAGTTAACTAGAGCCTATTTTGGGTTTTTTGACATGGCAAAATTTTGGATCAGATACCTAATTAAACATTTTGATAAAACAAACACAATTATTTCAAAGATAATACACGAAGGTGTTCATGTTCTTAATTTAAAAAATTTGGTATGGAAATTAATGTGATACATGTTAACAAGGCATTTAATATTTTAACTGAGGTTACTTATTCTGAAAATACTTTACACTATGATTTTTAAAATTAATATGAAAGGTCAATAATGAATGCATATATTTATACATCTGAGTGACATATACATAGACATTCAGAAGATACAAACATACAAAATCACAACTAGATCAAGTATATCTAATTTAGAAAAATATGAAAATAGTAAAAAAAAAAGAAGAAAGAAAATAGTGATTATGTGAGGACAGTAGCAATCTTCGTTTCTTCAACATTATTATAATACTTTTAAATGAAAATATATTTACTTTGGCTTGGTTATATCCATAAAATCATTATATAACTTAGCTATATTAAACAATACTAAAGGAATATAATTTATAAATAAAACCAGCATATAATATTAAATTTCTCTAAGTATGAAATCCACATACCTGAACCAACCTCCTTTTCCTCTTCTTCAATGCTGTTTCTGATACTATCATATTCCTCATCAATGGTCTGGTTACCACGCATCTGAGATAAAATTCTACGAGCCTTCTGAGTCTGTCCTTTCTGAATAAGCCATCGAGGACTTTCCGGCAAAAAGAGAAAACCAAAGAACTGTATAACTGCTGGAATTGCTGCAAGTCCCAACATGTACCTGCAATAAGAAATTTACATTTATTGTAAAATATGATCTAATAGTACTGAGTATGAACTCACCACATGCTTTTTTTTGTTTTGTTTTGTTTTAATTTATTTATTTTATTGGTTGTTCAAAACATTATAAAGCTATTGACATATCATATTTCATACATTAGATTCAAGTTGGTTATGAACTCCCAATTTTACCCCAAATACAGATTGCAGAATCACATCGGTTACACATCCACATTTTTACATAATGCCCTATTAGTAACTGTTGTATTCTGCTACCTTTCCTATCCTCTACTATCCCCCCTCCCTCCCCTCCCATCTTCTCTCTCTACCCCATCCACTGTAATTCATTTCTCTCCTTGTTTATTTTCCCATTCCCCTCACAACCTCTTATATGTAATTTTGTATAACAATGAGGGTCTCCCTCCATTACCATGCAATTTCCCTTTTCTCTCCCTTTCCATCCCACCTCATGTATCTGTTTAATGTTAATCTTTTCTTCCTGCTCTTCACCACTTGCTTTTGTGTTTGGGTTGACCACAATAACCTCCAATGGTAAATTACAATTATTATATATGTATACACCATTATAGTATTTTTATGCAGTACTGAAAATTGAAAAATGAAAAAAATCTAATATTTCTCTTACAAATTATGATGAAAATAATGAGTAAAAGTCACAATATACACATTCTAGACCAACACATCATGCAAACACACTATATGACTGGGTGTCTGTGATCCCAGTGACTCAGGAGGCTAAGTCAGGATTCCAAATTAACTTGAACTAATAAGCTTAATAAATAAGCTTGAGTGAGATCCTGTCTCAAAATTTTGAAAAGTTTCTTTCAAAGTGATAGGGATGTAGCTCAGTGATGGAGTACCCCTGGGTTCTATCCCTAGTATCACAAAACACAAAACAATCATATTAATTGGGACTGCTATGTTTTGGATAAGTGTCCTGTAAGGCCCATCTGTTAAAAGCTTGTTGTCAAGTCTGTGGTGCTACTGGGAGGCAGGGGAACCTTCAAGGGGTAGAACTTGCAGGGCCTAGTGGTGCATGCCTGAAATCCCAACAACTACGGAGGCTGAGACAGGAGGATCGCAACTTCAAAGCCAGCCTCAGCAAAAGTGAAGCACTAAGCAACTCAGTGAGAACATATGTCTAAATAAATTACAAAATAAGAAATGTGGCTCAATGGTCCAGTACCCCTGAGTTCAATCCCTGTTACCAAAAAAAAAAAAAAAAAAAGGTGGAACTTAGTGGGAGTATGGTCACTGGGGACACGCCCTCAAGGTGAATTAGGACCCAAGCCCCTTCTCTCTCAGCTTCTGAACTTCCACAAGGTAAACAAATTCCTTTGCCAAATGCTCCCTGCCATGATGTTCTGCCACAGCTCCAACAGCAGCAAGTGAATTAACCATCAACTGAAACCTAAGCTAGAATGAAACTTTTCTCCTTATAAGTTGATTATCCTGGGTATTTTGTCACAGTCATGCAAAGGTGACTAACAAAGGATCTAAGATGAAACAGCCGTCTGCTTATAAGATGAATTTCCCTGAAATTAAGTGCCCAAGTTTGTTTCTTTACACCTATTTATTTTCTGTGAATAATAACAGTGTTATTATTAATTATTTTTAATAATAATCCTATTTCATTTGCCATTAAGCATCATGTTTACCACCACTAATTGTGAATTAAAGGCCTACAGCAAAAAAAAAAAAAAAAAAGATGGAGTTTGAAGCAAATAATCCTAATTAAATGACTGAAAATATTTTTTAAAACTGCTCATGTCATTTTAAATTATCTGTCATTTTCTTTAAGTGTCTCTTCCTAATAGCTGGCAAAATTATAAATAGCAGATACATCATTTAAAATCCATCAAAGAAATCACAACAGCAACATGCATTCAGGTATACTACCACCAAAGCTCTCTCCAGATTATGATAAGACTCATCTAACATCTCTAGGCCTCAGTGTTTTTAAACTGAAAAGGTAACTTTAGATAAATTTTAACGGGCCTTTCAAATGGAAAATTCTATGAATGTAGGACACCTGGATGTTTTCTGTTGCTCGGAATCCCCTGGGTATGTTCCAAGGTAGATTCATGCTAACACACTCAGAAAGCCAGTTCCATTTATGCAACAAGCCATGCTCACTGATACTCCTCTAAATCAATGAAAAGTCCCCTGACTCAATACATCTTTCAAAGCTATTCTACCGAAAGTATAGTAGCTTCCAAGGTTCTGGAGCCAGAAACCCAACAAAGTAAGGCCATTATTTTCATTTTAATTTCATTTTAACTCTAAATACAATATAAGAAATAATATAATTGTCATGTGGGTATTAAGAATATCTCTTGCAATGAACTACAAATAAAAACTACACGTAAAAACAAAAATTAAGATTCAGAGAGCAAACAGTGTTTATGAAAAGACTAAAGATATCACTATTTTATACTTTAATCCATGGATCCTGATAATTATACCAATATTTAGACTCTCTTTCCTCTGCCTCATCCACAGCACTGTTTTTTTTCCCCTCTCACAGATCTGTTTTTAACCTCAGTTTAGCCACATTTTTCAGCCTTGATTCATGTCACTGCCTCTCCTAGTATAATACATTATTGACCTGTCCAATTCAATGATGCAGCACCTCATATGTTGTGCACAGTAGGCACCTAATACACTTTTATGAAATGGTAAGAAAACAGCTATATATCTGAACTTTGGGTATTACCTACACAGAAGATACCTGTGCTTCAGACTCACACCACAAATATTTCATGTGGCAACTCTTCTGGACCACTTGGCCCTGCAAACTTACTCAGTAATTCCTTCTAACAAAACCATTCCTCATTCTAGATATACTCAGACTCTCTCTTCTACAAGAAGTATTAGATGACAGAGAGGTAAGCTCACATGAACACACATTTCTGGCCTCCTCCTCTTCAGACACTAACTTCTACAAATAAATCTGTAATTTAAATCAATGTTTTATTCCTTTAAACAAATAAAATTTCCGCCTGGGTTTTTAAATAATTTTTAAAAAGCAGTTAGGCTGGGGGTGTAGCTTCGTGGCAGAGCACTCACCTAGCATGTGCCAAGCCCTGGGTTCAATTCCCAGCAATGCAAAAACAAACAAAAACACCACCAGCAACAACAACAACAAAATTTTATCCTATACTACCAAATATTTAAAAGAAAAGAGATTTAAAAAAATGTAGACACTAAATATACTGTATCAGGAAATGAGTAAGAAAAGACCTGAAGAGGAAAACGTTCATGTTTCATTTCTCTGCACCCTCTCATGATCTTTCTGTGGAAAGATTAAAGATTGAGATGAAAGAGATACAGTGGCAGAGCACTTGACATGAATACAGAAATGGAATCCTTTTTCAGGCCCAGAGATGCTAACATAATATTTTGTACTTCGCTACTCACCATTAAATCCCAGGATGTGATATTTTGATACTTTTAAAAGAAGGTAGGAAAGGAGACAAAAGGAAAAATGGAAACATACATATTAGCCTGTGCTTCTTAAGTGAGCTTTAGAACTCAAAGTACTTTAGGCCTCCAGGCTTTGAAACAGGTAAATTCCAGGAGGCTGAGTCTGAAATTTACAGCTCATTGGCCTGTGCTAAGGAGGAGATAGGACTTTGCACCTGGCTGCCAACCTTTCAGGATACTGAAGGCTCTTTCTAGAGACTAGTCCTGGGCAAGAGGAAAAAAAAAATTAAAGAGGTTTATTACTTATATTGTAAAATTTTGTTTCTCAAAAACATGGGAGTTTATTTTATTTATCTTCCATGATAAAAATATTGTGATAGAAATGATCTTCATGGCTTTGTAGAAATCCAATACACAGGATGAAAGTGGAGAAGCTGTGGTCTATGATGGGGAGAACAGAGGAACAAATCAGGGTCTCACTTCAATGTTATAATTTAGGTAGGTATCCCCTATAGGCTTGTGCTACAGGTTTGTAGTCACCAGCCTGTGGTGTTACTGAGAGGTAGTGGAGCCTTTCAGAGGTGCAGTTAGCTGGAGGAAGTTTGGTCACCTAGGAAGTACCACTGAAGGGGATTTTTTTAAATATTTTTATTTGTTTTAATTAGTTATACGTAACAGTAGAATGCATTTATGCACTTTGATATATTATACATAGATGGGATATAATTTCTCATTTTTCTGAGTGTACACTTTGCAGAATCATATTGGTCATGTAGTCACATATATGTATACAGTACATGATTACTGTATGTATACAGTAATCATGTCTGTTTCATTCTACTATCTTTCCTATGGCCACATCCCCGCCTCTCCTTTCCTATCAATTCCATCTACCCAATCTAAGGTAACGCTTCCCTAGTGCCCCCTACCTTCTGGTGAAAAAGCATCCACATATTAGAGAAAACATTCAGCTTTTGGTTTTGTGGGACTGGCTTACTTCACTTAGCATGATAGTCTCCAACTCCAATCATTTACTAGCAAATGCCATAATTTTACTCTTCTTTAAAGCTAATATTCCATTGAGTATTTATACCACATTTTCTTTGTCCCTTCATCTATTGAGGGATACCTACATTGGTTCCATAGTCTCTAACTACTGTGAATTGAGCTGCTATAAACATTGATGTGGCTGCACCCCTGTGGTATACTGAATTTAAGTCCTTTGGGTATAAACCAAGGAGTGGGATACTGGGTCAAATGGTAGTTCCATTCCCAATTTTCTGAGGAATCTCCATACTGCTTTCCAGAGTGGTTGCACCAATTTAAAGTCCCACCAGCAATGTATGACAGTACCTTTTTCACTACATCCTCACCAATATTTATTGTTGCTGTATTCTTCATGATTGTCATTCTGACAGGAGTGATATGAAATCTTAGAGTAGTTTTGATTTGCATTTCTCTACTTCCTAGAGTTGTTGAACACTTTTTCATATATTTTTTGATCAACTGTATTTCTTCTTCTGTGAAGTGTCTGTTCAGTTGCTTAGCCCATTT